GAACTTGCAAAAGGGGCCCCCTACTTTTTGGAGACCTCTGTATAACCTCCTAGAACAGTCCATATATTCATTCATCCCCCACCTCAGAATCATACGCGGATTCTAGGACTATAATATTGGTAACTTGTCCCCATGAAGCCCATATCCTTTTCCATTTGGTTGACCATTTGGGGGGGATACTATACCCTGAGCCCCAAGTAAGCCCCACATAACCCCTGTATAACTCCTTTAAAGGGACTCTAAACCCTGTGTAATATCCTCGGTAATCCCTAAATAACTCATCTTAAAGAGACCAAATACCTTTTGCAGTAATATGTTCCCACAAGGCTCTTCGTATGCCACGGAGATGATCATTGGACAGAACATCAACGAGGCCTGCATGCGAATGGTGGTTTAGGGTTTAGGGTTAGGGCCCGTTAGGGATTTGGGCACCTGAGGGTTAAGGCTTTATAGGATTGAGGGCATCTGGTTGTGGAGATGTAGAGGGCCTTCATTGGAATGTCTCTTGTCTGGAGTAGGGTATGTGTTGAAACCATAGCAGTGGAGACTAACACCCCAGCTCTTACACTCATCGTTTGCTTTAACGCAGAGACTGGTGAGCATTGAAGAGGCGTCGAAGATCAAGAACACCGACATCTCTTCGCACCTCAAGCTGCCACCAGCTCTCCGGCTTTGGTATTGGTGCGATACGAGGGTAATTGGCAACCCCAATCCCGCCAGCCCTCTGGCTTGGGCATTAGCGTGATACGAGAGTGATTAAAACCCCAATCCATAAACCCGTTAAGTTGTTACCTGTAGCAGCAAATATAGTCATAGGGAGATTTCTGCGACCTCAGCGCCCAAGATTGGGGTGCCTTCTTTCACTTAATTTCCGGAGGGTTGTGGGGCCTTCTTTGTTTGAGAGGTGGAAAGCCCAAACCTGTTTGGTTCGGGCTCCGGCTTCCCGAGTCAAGCCTGATGTTAAGATGATGTGCTTCAATCACATCTTAACCTGAAGATGCAAAATCTTGCGCATGCGTCGCTCTATCTTCTGTATTGCGTTCCTCTTATGTATTTGGTCTCAAAAAAGAAACACCGGCAGTGTCGGTCATTTCTCTTCATCAGGATCCGGGGTATAGCTGTAGGTAGAAGGACCCCTACACAAAATCTCTTTCTGTAGCCTCTTGCCTACTTTGTCTAGGCGGAAAGTCATGTACAGCCAAGATCATGTCCAAGCTTAAGCACTAGACTCTGACTGATAAGGAACGCAAAGCAGGACGTCAGTTTCCCGGCATACCGCCTGCAACGTCCTTCATATACCCAAAAGAGCTATATCTGCAAATCGCCTGGTGTGAGACCAGTTGGATTATAATCGCGATCCATATGCTGTCTATGCTCGGAACTGCCTTCACATTCCAGATTCCAAATTTCCGCCACCCGTCTCAAGCTCCTAGACTCCAAAGCTATAATTTTTGAGTTTTCCCAACATTAACCCGTATTGAGGTGAAGATCCACTGCTCCGTGCTGGCGGAGGAGGCCATCCAGGCGGCTATCGCAGACTACAAGACCAAGCAGGCCAGGGTTTGATCCATCAGCAGCATGTTTAGCAGGCAGCTGTATGCTACGAACAGCGCAGCAGCCAAAGTCGGTAGTAATAAAACGACCATGCAGGTGGGGTTCACGGATTCGGGCTTGAGACAGGTTGTGAAGAGGAGCATATAGCGCCCTGGGTTTGCATTTGCCTCATGGGTTTTCAAAGTATATCGAAATTGCGATTATGTAATGGGTTTGCGCGTGGTGAAGTTCTTCCGGTTTCGATGCTTGTGCTCAGGAGGCTCAGGAGTTGTAGGTTATTCGAACGTGCGTGCGCCCAAGCTTGGGCTTGCAGCAAGCCTTTCAATCACGCTTTAGGGTGGCGAATTATGTATTCATGTGCACATAGACACAAACCAGGGGTTGGGTTCAGATTCTTATGTTGCAGCAGGGTCGGAGTCGGAGATTGTGCATTAATATATCCATGTCAAAAGTTCATGGAGGACTACCTACAAGCTTCCAAGAAGCCTTTGGTATTCTTCCCCCATGTTGTGATGGCTGAAAACTTTTCGCGCTGCTGCCCTGGAATTCTGCTGGCCGCTGTCCTGTAAGTCAACACATTGACTGGATACGAGTTGAAGAGCCCATGGAAGGTCCCATCTAAGAAGTTCATTTTTGGGAGTCTGGGAAGATTATGTGAGAGGAGGATGGGGCCAGTGGCAGTTCCTGGGTAATGCGTTTTTGTGCTTTCCTTTTTTTTAAATCTAAGCTGACATGCCAAAACAACTCGCCACAAAAGTTGTATGACTCTCAGCAGCAGCACTACAATAAACATGCCAATCGCGGCCACAAGATTCTACACTGGACGTTGTGGCCAGAACATCGGGCTCTGTGCCAGCGCCGAAATGATGAGAAGCCAAGTTTGCTTCTGTGAGACGCAGGGTTCCTCATGATGCGTATGTAGGACATGAAGGAAACGATCCCTATACCTGTCCATATATCATTTTTCTTAATACTTCCTTTTTCCTCTTCCTTCCCTTTCCAAAGGCCACTCGTAGGACTTTCAGGGTTGCATGTCGTGTGAGTGCAGGCCCCCTGGAAGCTGCTCAGTTCCGGGGGGATTGGACACACTGGACACTTCAGCCTCGATCATAGAAGCACTTCCCTTGAACCCAAACCTCCACGCATGTACATACATGCCCTCCCCTTGAAGGGGGCCTGACAGGATGCCGCTGCTGCTTGAATCTTCCCCGGGGGCTGCAGTCTTCGCCTCAGAGGGTGCGACAGTGCGACTGCGAAATGGGTGGGTTGACATAGGGACCAGACAACAGCCCGAATGTTTCAGTAATCTCCCCGGAGGATCTGAAACAAACTTGGCTTAGCTTGCTGCTTCCTTTGGGGAGTAGGATGTTTGTCTGCATATTGGGTTTTGCAAGGAAAAGGGGTCCCCTTTGTACATGCCCGACATAATTCAAATGAGTAAATATATCTATTTATATATAACCATTATACGAGGCCCCAAGAGAACTCCTAATTCTTGAGCAGACCCATATCCCAAGTTCCCGGGATGTTCGGACTTTTCTATTTTGGATGTACGTTGAGGGGCATTAGCGGCACACTGCAGAATGCCATGCTTTGATACTTGGGTCTCCTTAACGCTATGACCCCCGCAAACGATAAACATCTCGTGTTACCTCGGCATGGCCGCTGTGGCAAGCGCCCGCCTTCTCAGGCATCTGTACAGAGCCCATGGCTGCTGCTGGCAGTGACTAGGTAGTTTAACACAGTTGAGGTGTGGCTGAGCTGAGTGGCACGCACCAGTCCTTGTCGGATAGAAACCTGTTGAGGCCTTTTCGGCATGCCGGCATCACACCTAAGCAGGAATCCTTCAAGATCTATCTGATCTACAATTCCTGAAGAACACCTTCGTCAATTTTGAGCCCTAGAGACCTGAATCAAAAGCAACAATGAAAGGTCTCTACGATCGCCCATGTGGACCCTGTAAATCGAATTTTTCCTTCTATGTCAACTGCTCCCAGTGGAGGCTCCCCCTTGAAAATTGCCCCAGAGCTCTCTGATTGGACGCCTGAAGTTGTGATGCTTGGCATGCCCTGGCCCGATTTTGTCGGGCGCCTGGGGACGATACGCAGATAGGCTCGCATTTTATGCAGGCCTTCTCCTGTGTGAGCTGCTTTCAAAGCAGGGATAACGCCAACGTTGTTTGAACTTGCTATGACAACTTCCTTAGACCCATCTTTGCACATGAAAGAACTTCTTGCGAAAGGATTGCGCGCGTTGTGTAGTGCATGTACAGCTTTGTTGAGGACTCAATTTAAGGATTAGTGTTCACGTGAGCAGTCTTGATTACAGCGCTGAGAGGGGGCTAAAGCCGAACAGGTTCGCAGTGGCCTTGTGGTACAAGGCAATTTCATCATTACATAATTACGCTCAATATAGCACCATTATAGAAAAGCATATGTATGTATTGGGGGAATATTGGGGTGGGTAGGTTTTTTTGATTGGGGAGGGGATTACACCCAGTATGGTCTCCGATGGCAAGTTGCAGCATCTGAGATTCAAAGCTGCAGTTTGCACGCATGCAGTAGTCTAGCATAGTATCATGCTCATCCAGCAGCAAAGTCTTCAGCGTCCGGCTGCTAGATTATCAGAAATTTTCTGTGCCTCTGAAGTCGCAGAATAGAGAAAAGCCCTTCATATCCCAAATCACTTCACTGGGTTTCATCTTCATGTGAGATGTGAAGCTTGTTGTCTCTCTTGTTTGGAGGCTCAGAGATAATCTGGCAGAGACCCACTGCCACCGCTCCCAAGCGTGTGGGAAAACACACTGCTGGCTGCAGTCCTTAAGCAGAGCTATCATAGACCCCAGCAATTACTCTATAATCCTTCTGGAGGGGAGCACGAGTTGCGAGCTTTCCATGTTGGGTTTCCCCTGCCTTTTGGTTTCATACGAAGGGTTTTCCAAGATTGGAATGCCCCCGGAACCCCGGTATACATTTTTGAGTGGAAATTGTGTTCCTGAATGACCCTTGTTACCTTATGCCTGAGGAATTATGTGCATTTGGTATACCAACGATGCAGGAATTTCCTATCGGCACGATGCGTCTTGCCCATGCTTCGACCCTTTGCAAGTACATTTGTACCCCTCTGCCCCGCCGTATTTGGACGACAAGCTAGCTTATCAGGTTGCAGTCTTCCTATTCTACCTAACTTATTACTTGGGCGGTGGAGATCACAGTCGGCAGACGCAGAAGAACGCATCACATTCCACCGGAAATTCTGCGTCGTGCTGTGATCTATCCAAAAGCCTGCGAGCCTCATCGTGCTGTGATCTATCCAAAGCCTGCGAGCCTGCCACCAGTTTTCAGGACCTGGAGAATGATTGGAATGCATTGCTCTCAGTGCTGCTTAGGATCTCACAAGGAGGCTTCAAGTAGTGGTGCTTTCCTTCTTCCCTACACCGAAGACTCATGGCGCTCAGCGTTCTCTCCCGCCGGGCGTCCGCCCCGTTTGCCGCCCCGCGCTTCGCGGTGGCCGCTCGCCGCGGCTACCACGAGGTCGTTCCTCGGCCTTGAGAATTTGAGACCTTGGAAAGTTTTCGAACACTTGAGAAAGCCCCCATCGTGTTTTGACATTGGTTTGCCTATTGTTGGTTCACATCTTGTCTTTGATGTCCTCAAGACACTTCCCTCTTGGGACCCGAAGATCTCGGTACAGTTCCTATACACTCATGGGGTTCCTGGGGCCCAATTTGGACAAGCGCTCAGTTAGGTGCATGACCACTTCAACAATCCGCGCAATGTTGGCAGCTGCTCGCCTTTGACTGGGATCTCCTTAGTAGCTGAGTGGGTAACCTCTGACATTTGGGGTCTATGTAATCCTTTTGTATGTAAAAGGTTGTCTGGGGGACTGGGAACTCAGCAACTAGGTGTCCTTTTCATGTTCGGATGTCTAAGGGGTCAAGTGGGCTTGGGGAGGGTGTTTGGAGGTTTAGGGGGCAGGAACCAGAAAAGTTTTAAGCAGTGAGCAGGAGTTGGCCTCCAACCCTAAGACAGCTGGCTCAATGTGAATGTCGGCACTTGAGCCATAGTCTCAACTCCTTGAAGGGTGTTACATAATAGGGGATTCTATAGGGGAGGATTTTAGGGGTTATAACGGAAAATACTAGGGGTTAAGACTGGCTCATTTCTGTTTTGAGGCCTAATCTTCTCACATTTGGGGGCATGATGCTTTTTTCATCCATTTAATTCCTATCAAACGTCCCCTCCTGGGTTGGAAAGCTGACATATTGCGACTCTCCATGTCCATGGACCTCTCAAGCCAAATGCCCCATCTAAACCCCATACTGCTTGTATCTGCATTGCTTGAGGTGAAGGCCTATAAGCCAGGACAAGAATGCCCATAAAACAGTACAGTCCCCCTTAGGTAGGTCGCATGTGGGATACATGGGGGTCTTCTTCTGCTTTTTGAGAGATTCCATTTTCAATCTACGTAAGGGCGGCTAGAGTCTGGACGAACACCATTTACAGCTCTCCAAATCGACCATCTCGTGTCCATTGGAGACCATGTCCAACCCCTCAAAGTCCCCAAAGCTACAGTTACGGGCCCCCTTAAGTAGATCGCATATGAAGTATATGGGGATCTTATGATGATATTGGGCAATTCCATTTTCTATCTGCTGAAGGGTGGGTGACTATACAGCTTTCCCTGCATGCTACATCCAAGCTACTTGGGAGGAACAAACACCCCTGTAGACCCCAAACCCCACCCCAACACCTAAAAGAACTGCATACCCCAAACCCTAAGCTACCCACCCTGGTGTGCATAAATGGGATATGGACCCCAGGATATTATAATCCCTATCATAGGTACTCCCGAAAATGAACCCCTACTTCTGAGAAACTCTCTGTGCAAGGCCTGGACAAGCAGAAGCCCTAACCTCTATAAACCCTATGTAATACCTATACAACCCCCATAACCCCAAATTTTAGAAAACCCTAAACCCTTAAACCCTAAACCCCCAAACCCCTAAACCCAAAACACAGCAAGGCCTAGACAAGCAGGATAAGAATGTGGGCTCGGCCCTGGTCGGCAAGGCGTCATGCGGGGATGTGATCAAGCTCCAGGCGGGAAAGGCTTCAGGGTTTGGGGTTTAGGGGATGTAGGGACTATGTGAGCTATGGCCTAAACTTTTTAAAGGGGTTATGTAGGGGATTTTTATAAAGGAGTATTATAGGGGTTATGAAGGTGGATACTTGGAGTTTAGACACTGTAGCCTATAGCTCATATCGGGCTTTAAGGGTTTAGGGCTTAGGGCTCCAGCTCCCGGCAGAGAAGGTGCACCGCAACCCCAACCCAAAGCAATGTAGGAATTTCCCAAAATTAGGGGTACCATTTTGGGGGCTCGGCTCCTATTGTAAAGATTCTAGTAGTTTGAGGTCTATATTGTGGTCCCCAAGCTACCATGTAGAATCATGGCCTTTCATGACTTTTTGTCCATCATTTCAATATTTTTTCTTAATCTGAGCTCCGCACAAATAAGGGCGCATCCCGGTTCCTTCCCCTAGAATGGTATGAAAGGCCTAAAATTATTATTGAGAAGGGTTTTGGGAAATATCCGGGGCCCATCATTGAGAAGATCTCCGCGCTTATAGACACCTTGTCATATAGCTCGGTAAAGGGTAGCTCGGGAAGCAAAGCTCGAGCCTTTAATTCCTAATAAACTCTAGTATGCAAATCAAGTTTCACAATCAGCTTGCTTATGCTCATTTGCAGAGTTTCAGAGCAGCCAGGTAAGCAAGTCTCCCTAAACCTTAAACTGTTCAAGGTGAGCCCCTGAATGTAAGTATTAAGAACTCGTGTCAGAATCAGTCCTGCAGTGTTTTCTGATTTTCCAGGGGTGGGTTCTATGAATGAAGAAGAGACCTTCTCGCGCCAGCTCCGTGAGGGATAGCTCAAGAAGCCATTTTTGAGCCTTTCCGGGTTTCGGCGTGGTGTTCGTAAGGGTTTGGGGTTTTAGCATTGAGGATGCATAGCTTGAGGCTTTCACTGCTACAGGGGTTTAAAATTTTGGGGCTGGGTTCAGGGTTAATTTAGGGTTTAGGGGAAAAAATGACACTCGTGTTTCCCAACATACTTATCTAGCCAGAATCATTCAAACATCGTTTTCATTTCATGTTCCACGTTCTCATTTGATTCTCCATTATTTGTGTAAGATCTCTAAGCCCCACCTATCCCTCTATATCCATACATAACCCTCAACCCTATAAGCGGTATCCCTACCTAGTGGGCAGGTGAAGGTGGGAACGGACGGCACCATTGAGGACGCAAAGTTCAAGACTTTCGGCTGCGGCTCTGCCATTGCCAGCTCCTGGTCTGAGTAGGGGTTTGGGGTTTAGGGTGGAAGGTTTGAAAATGATATTAGTTATTTTAACCTTTAATTCTTATATAACCCTTATAAGGCCATAATAGATCAGTTTCATAGGGCCCCAAAACCTAATCTAGTGAGCTTGGTGCTGATGGTATAATGTGACTATACTGCTCGGATATGGATGCACGTCTATACATATGCCCATGTATGTTTCTGACTGGTATTGTTGATATCATTGTTGGTGTATCTTCTTGTTGTTCCTTGACGTTACTTGTTTTAAGTACACGGTCATTACGGGTCTGGAGGCTCGAGGTTAAGGCTTTAGGGGGTAGGATTGTGGCCTGGGCTTTGGGTTCCACATTTGTGGCTTGGAGTTCGTGGCTGTTGGTGCTGGGGTTACAGGATTTCGTGTAGAGTGCAGGGTGGCAAGGGCCTTCAGAATTCTGTAGGATGATAACAACCTCCCCACCCCTCAACAGTGAATATTCTCCCTAGTATGGTATGCAACGTAATGGGTCCAATTTTGTAAGCCGACATGGCCCTCGCAAGTAGCCCTACCGGTCCCAGATGATATTATATTTGGGGTGATATTTTGCCAGGGAGGGGGGCGGGGTGCGAGAGGGTAACGCTATGAAATTTACAGGGTGATCGTGGGCGGGGTGTGCATTGCAGTGTAGGGCCTGCCGTCCAGGGCTTGAGCAGCAATCTGAACAGTCCAGTATCTAGAGAGCGGAAGAACGAATCTACGCATTAATTAGCTTCTTTTGGGATATATCCCCACCATCTAGGGGTTGGTTGTAAGGGGCTTGACATTTGTATATTATATTAACAGCCTATTATATCATGGCATGTTATAGTCTATTAATGTTTATTGCGGTATACTATGGTATATTATGGCATATCCACATTTTGCTTGCTTTCTTTTGGGTCCCGGTTTGGTCAGATAGGTCATTAGGGATCATACGTGTTCAAGGGTCGCTCGCTGTTGTGGGTCCCAGAAGGCTTATAGCACGTTTGGGCTTCTAGTGGCTATTAGCCCTAGAAAATCCCAAATAAACACTGGAAACTTTCTTCTTTTGATAAGTCTTATCTAGTTTTGATATAAACCTTCCAGTGGCTGAGGTTTTTTTTTGCCCAGTACTCACTCCCCAAAAATAATGAACCGGAATTTTGGTCATCCCAAGGTATATATGGGAGAGGGGGAAAAACAGAAACTACCATTATTCAGGGTTGTTGGCTTTGTATTAACATAAGACCGCCCACGCTTTGTAATAATGAATGTTCCCCTAGGAACAAGAATGCTACGATGTTGGGTGACATTGTCATAAAGGGGGTGGGGGGTATTTTTCGGGGGATGGGATTACTGGTGTGAGGGAGAGTGTGGGGCGTGGATCCCTAGCATCTTTGTATGGGGGCTTCCAGAATAAGAGGCCTTCATATAGACCTTAGTATATTGCCTCTTTTTTTCAGAAACTCCCGAAAGGGCCCCTACTTTTTGGAGGTCTCTGTATAACCTCCGGGAATAGTCCATATATTCATTCATCTCCCCCTCAGAATCATACGCGCATTCTAGGACTATAATATTTGTAAGTTTTTCACATAAACCCCTACGTAGCAACAGTTTCCACGTCATGTTCCATATCCTTTTCCATTTGATTGACCATTTCGGGGGATACTATACCCTGAGCCCCATGTAAGGCCTATGTAAGCCCTACATAACCCGTGTATAACTCCTTTAAAGGGACCCCAAACCCTGTGTAATATCCCTGATGATCCTTAAATAACCCATTTTAAAGGGACCAAATATTTACATATGTGCATATGTATGTATCCAAAGCCCTTTAGCACCAATATGTTCCCACAAGGCTCTTCGTATGCCACGGAGATGATCATTGGACAGAACATCAACGAGGCCTGCATGCGAATGGTGGTTTAGGGTTTAGGGCCCGTTAGGGATTTGGGCACCTGAGGATTAAGGCTTTATAGGATTTTGGGTATCTGGTTGTGGAGATGTAGAGGGGATTCATTGGAATTCCTCTGGTCTGGAGTAGGGTATCTGTTGAAACCATTGCAGTGGAGACTAACAAGCAGATACTCCACTAAACTCGTACACCCCGGCTCTTACACTCTTTGTTTGCTTTAACGCAGAGATTGGTGAGCATTGAAGAGGCGTCGAAGATCAAGAACACCGACATCTCTTCGCACCTGAAGCTGCCACCAGCTCTCCGGCTTTGGCATTAGTGCGATACGAGGGTGATTGGCAACCCCAATCCCAAACTCGTCAATTTGCTACCTGTAGCAGCATGTATAGTCATAGGGAGATGTCGGCGACCTCAGCGCCCAAGATTGGGGATAGGGAGATTTCGGCGACCTCAGCGCCCAAGATTGGGGTGCCTTCTTTCACTTAATTTTTGGAGTGTTGTGGGGGCCTTCTTTGTTGGAGAGGTGGAATGCCCAAACCTGTTTGGTTCGGGCTCAGGCTTCCCGAGTCAAGCTTGATGCTAAGATGATGTGCTGCAATCACATCTTAACCTGAAGATGCCAAATCTTGCGCATACGTCGCTCCATTCTATGTATTGTGATTCTTTTATGTATTTTGTCTCAACAAATCAAACACAGGAAGTATCCGTTGATTGTACCCATTTCTCTTCATCAGGATCCGGTGTATAGCCGCGGGTAGAAGATGTTTTTACACAAAATCTCTTTCTGTACCTTCTCCACTAAGGAGGAAAGTCATGTATAGCTAAAATCATGTCCAAGCTCAAGTAGACTCTGACTGGTAAAGAACACAAACAAGGACTTCAGTTTCACGGCATACCCCCTGCAATGTCCTACATATACCCAAAAGAGCTTTACGGGTGGACGTCCGCAAATTGCCCGCTGCAAGACGGGTGTTGGACTAATTGCGATCGGTCTGCTGTCTATGCTCGAAAATGCCTTAACATTCCAGATTCCAAACTTCCGCCACGCCGTGTCAAGCACCTAGATTCCAAAGTTTTCCCAACACTAACCCGTGTTGAGGTGAAGATCCACTGCTCCGTGCTGGCGGAGGAGGCCATCCAGGCGGCTATCGCAGACTACAAGACCAAGCAGGCCAGGGTTCGATCTATCAGCAGCATGTTTAACAGCAGTATGCTACGCACAGCGCAGCAGCCGAAGTCAGTAGCAAAAAAACGACCATGCAGGTGGGGTTCACGGACTCGGGCTTCAGACAGGTAATGGATACGGGCGTATAGCGCCCTGGGTTTGCATTTCCTTCATACCGAAATTGCGATTATGTAATGGGTTTGCGCGTGGTGAAGTTCTTCCATTTTTGATGGTCGTAATCAGGAATTGTAGGTTATCCTGACATGCACCCAGGCGAGCCGGGTCCTCGGGGCTTTGCAAAGCATGACTTACACTCACGTTTCAGGATGGCGAATTATGTATTCATGTACACATAGACAAATGGCAGGGGTTGGGTTCAGATCCGTATGTTGAAGCAGGGTCGGAGATTGTGCTTGAATAGATCCATGTCAAAAGTTCGTGGAGGACTACCTGACTACCTACAAGCTTCCAAGAAGCCTTTGGTATTCTTCCCTTCCCCCATGTTGTGATGGTTAGAAACCCTGCGCTCTGTTGCCCTGGAATTCTTTTGGTCGCTGTCCTATAAGTCAACACACTGTCGAGATACGAGCTAAGGAGCCCATGGAAGATCTTATCTAAGTTGTTCATTTTTGGGAGTCTGGGAGATTGGGCCAGTGGCAGTTTCTGGGTATGAGTTTTCGCGTTTTCCGTTTTTTGATGTAGCCTGTCATGCCAACACAACTCGCCGCAAAAGTTGCATGGTTCTCGGCAGCAGCACTACAATAAACATGCCAATAGCGGACACAAGATTCGACAGTGGAGGCTGGGGCAACAACATAGGGCACAAAACTTGTGGGTTGTTCTCTTGCACTTCTGCCAGCGCCGTAATGATGAGAAGCCAAGTTTACTTCTGTGAGACGGAGGGTTCCTCATCCTGCATATGTAGGAAAAGAAGGAACTGATCCCTACTCTTAATGCTTCCTTTGTTCTCCTCCTTCCCTTTCCACAAACCACTGGTAGAACTTTCAGGGTTGCATCTCGTGTGAGTGAAGGCCCTGTGTAAGCTGTCCAGTTCCGGGGGTGGGACTGGACAGACTCTACCATTCAACCTAGATCCTGAAACAGTTCCCTTGACCCGGAACCATCCTAAACCTTCGCGCATGTACATGCCCACATACACATGTACGTAAACATGTGTGTGTGCATACACATACACATGCATATATAAAACATATTATACATATCATATACGTATACGTGCATATATGACATTACATTACCTTGCAGTACCTTACATTACATTACGTTACTTTGCACTGCATTGCGTTACATTACAGCGCAGTACATCACATTAAGATACATTTCATCACATTACATGGCATTACATCACCTCACATTACATGACATTACATCATATTACATTACGTAACAGTTGCATTGTTACATGTATACATATATACACATGTACATATATGCATATTTACATACACACACATCTGTCACCTGCATGTGTATATATATATATATATCCAGGTGCGTATGGATATTTGCTGACATATGTGCATGTAAGTTGGGGTACGCACGTATAGATACCCTGTGTAGACCTGCCCCAGCAAAGGGAGCCTGACAGGATGCTCCTGCTGCTTGAATCTTCCCCGGGGGCTGCAGTCTTCACCTCAGAGTTCACTGCCTTGTATATAGTATATAGTATATTGGGATTATACAGGGATAACGGAAAAGAACATGGAAACTCTTACAATTGGCTTATATAGGATACCCAGGGGAACTTTTCCAGAGGGCGCGACGGTGCGACTGCAAAATGGGAAAGTTGACGCGGTAGGCGTACTATAGCTGGTGCCCAAGAAAAGGGTAAGGGATTCTTAGGGACTAGACAATAGCCCAACTGTTTCAATAATCCTTCGGCTGGGTTTGAAACAAATTTGGTGGGATACCATCCGTATCTACTGTTGCAAGGCCTCCGCAGAAGGGATGGGTTCTGTGGAAGATGCAAGCGGGCCGTTCATTGGCAGTCATCCAGGCCATCAAGGCCTGTAACTTCTGCATATTGGATGTTCCACGAACAAGGGTCCCTTTCTATGCTACCAAGACTGTAGCTTCGAAAAGACTCCTAATGCTTGAGCAGTCCCACATCTCCAGTTTCCGGCATGTTTGCTTGGGTTTTCTGACAGGCCTATTTGGATATACGCTGGTGGGGAATTAGCTGCGGAATCGCATGTTTTGATAGTTTGGTCTCTTTACGCTATCACGCCACCACTCAAACAACAAACATCTCATGAATCTCATGTTGCTTCAGCATGGCAGCTAGATGGCACGCGCCCGCCTTCTCAGGCGTGTGTACAGAGCCCATGGCTGCTGCTGGCAGTGACTAGGTAGTTTAACACAGTTGAGGTGTGGCTGAGCTGAGTGGCATGCACCAGTCCTTGTCGGAAGGAAGCCCCCCAGGCTACGTTTGCTGTCTGAGCTCCCCATTGCGGTTACAGGGGTTCATGTTTCTGAAGAAAGTGAGGGCAAGCCCCACCTTCTCAGTTGCAAGGTAATACCGGCAGGATACGAGCAGGTGCTACCAGATCTCTTTCCTCCTCATGCGGGGTTTTCCCAAGTTGCGGGCCCCTGAAGCGCTGAGACCGCAATTGAGGAAAATGTCCTGTTGAGGCCTTTTCGGTATGCCGGCATCACACCTAAGCCGGAATCCTCCAATCTATTTTGTATGCAATCCCTCAACATGACCCTCGTCAACATTGAGCCCTAGAGACCTGAATCAAAGGCAAACATGACAGGTCTATGCCTCTAACTTTCCCTTCTATATGGGTAGTTGTCAAAATTATGGTCCCTTTTTGGGTACCCTAGATATTAGGTCCCGTACTATAATAGGGATCCAAAAAGGGACCATAATTTTGACAACCACCCATATCAGCTCCTTTCAGTGCAGCTTCCCCTCCCAAAGCTGCGTTAGAGCTCTGATTGGACACCTGAGTTTGTGATGCTGGCATGCCCTGGCCCGATCTTGGTGGGCGCCGGGGACGATAAGAATATAGACTTTGTATTTGATGCTTGTCCTGTGTCCTGTGTAAGCTCCTCTAACAGCACGGCGTGGATCATATGACAATGTTGGTAGACCCGTCCTCGCGCATGTAAAGAAGTCTTGCCAGAGGATTACGCCTGCGCTTCTCGAGTAATTCATATACAGCCTTGTTAAGGATCCTGTTAGGGGCGATTCGCGTTCATGTGAGCAGGCCTGACTTGAGCGCGCAGGGAGGGGTCTAGAGGACGGGCTCGCAGTCCGCAGTAGTCCTGTCGTACCACTGCTAGAATTCCACAAGTACGCCAGATATAGTACCATCATATAATATTGGTGGGGTATGTATTAGGGGGTGGGCAGGTTTGTGATTGCAAGGAGGGGATAATACACCTATGGTCTCCGATGACAAGTTGCAACCTTTGAGATTGCAAACTGCCTGACTAAAGGTACCAGATCTCTGGCATGTTGCATGCATGCAGCAGTCTAGCAGATCATGCTCATCTAGTAGCAACGTCTCCGGCGTCCAGCTGCTAGATTATCAGACTGTATTTCTGTGCCTTTGACGTGACAGCCGTTAATATCCTGGCTTTTGTTTCGCTAGCCTTCAATGCATCCCATTTTAGATGTGAAGCGTCTTGTTTCTCTTCTGTGGAGGCTCAGGGATAATCTTGCAGAGACTCACTGCGACCGCTCCCAATCGTTTGGGAAAACACATTGCTGGCTGCAGTCCTGATGAATCAGACTTATCATCCTTTTGGGGGGAGCATAGATTGAGAGGCGTTCATGTTGGGTTTCCCCTGCCTTGGGTTTCATATACGGGGGTTTCCACGATTGGGATAACCCCGGAACCCTAGTGCGTGTATAGATATTTGTCTTTGGGAGTCCATGTTAGGGACCAGACAGGGGATGATTTTCGGGTAGAACTTGGAATCGTGCATGACCTTTGGTACCTTTTGCCTTGGAAAACTATGTGACTTTAGTATACCAAGGTTCTGCAGGAATTTGCTATCAACAGTGGTAGTTATCAATAACCCAAGTTGGTTTAGGCCACGTCTTGCCCAGGCTCATGACCCTATTGCAAGTACATGTATACCCCCCTGCCCCATTAAAAAACAAAAAACGCACACGACGCTAGGATAGGTTATCAGGTTGCAGTCTTCCTCTCCTACCTGACTTCGTACTTGCGCATGGTAGAGGAGATCACAGCCAGCCGGGTCAGAAGAACGCATGGCATTCCACTAGAAACTCTGCATCACCCTGTGCTTGACCTAAAACATGCGAGCTTTCCACTAGTTTTCAATACGTGGAGAATGATTGGAATGCACTGCTTATGGTGAAGATCTTTCAGACTGATAAAACAATCCCAGACCTTCCCATGAGTTTCCTGATCCTGGAGGTATCCCTGCGTTGGAGGATGTGAGATGCATTTTGACATGGTTGACGGGGTATGTCCGACAGTGCAGAATGAGGAAATCGATCCGATTTCGGGATTGGAATTTTGGAGCAGTTCTCGAGGCACTTCGCTTACTGGTGTTTTTCAGAGAATGCGGGAATATAATCGCTGCATAATATCTTCCCCTTCTCCGTACCCTAAACCCTCAACCTCAAACCCTAAGCCCTACAGAAGCCCCTAGGAAGCTGAAGTCCTCCAGCGACAGGCCCAGTAAGCATGTCTTCTTCATCAAGCAGGCTAAGCAGTCACTGCAGCCTTCAACCTGACATCATAACCTTCCCAACCCTGAGCCGTAGATTCTCAAAGCGAGCCAGAGAGACTTCGCCATAACTTGGTGCCATGCAAGCATCATCCAACCCTAGAACTCTCAATCCTGCCTAGGCAAATTCTTGCATGTTTTTCCCTCTTGGTGGGGATTCAAAACTGATAGGAGATTCAATCAGGCAACCAAAGGTCCAAAATCAGCCTCGCAAATAGTCTTGAGGTCACCTGGCAGCTTCTCCAGTGCTCCCTAGTAGTACCCTAGAGCTCTACTTACCTGAATTATGAGTTCTAGGTTCTATCTACCTTGTAGTTACACAGCCCAGTAGTCCACTATTTAAGTAACTGGGAGCCGTAAGGGTAGCTAATTCAGAAAAATGTTTGCAGGTCTACCACCTCCTGCCGCTCTCAACCAG